GTGCCCCGGTCTTGGTTTGTAGGTGCCATCGCTGTCCCTGTGTGGGTGTCCGACTGGCCACACCCTCTCCTACTCCTTGGACTGCTTTTGTCCCCTATAAGTGCTGCATCATAAAGGTGGCGTCGTCCACCTATTGGGGAGAAACGCGTTGGGGAGGGAGTGGTGGGGTGCAGTCTGTCTTTGCGAGTTTGCTCTCCTTGCAATAAAGCTTGTTGAATATTTTTTTTTTTAAAAATCAGTTCATCCTCTTTGTTCCCTGCACCCTCCCGAATGGCTAAAGTGACAGGTGGTGGTTTGTTTGGTTTTTTTTGCAGCACCAGCTGACGCGTTTACGGGCGAGCTGCCAATGAGCTGAAGAGCGCGGTTCTGTCCAGTTTCCCGGAGATGAACTTTGAGATGAACCCCACCAAACCACGTAGAGGAAGCTTCGAGGTCGCCCTGCACCGTGAAGGAGCAAAGAGTGAGTGCTGATTTGTCACGGTTTCCTGTTAGTGGAATCTTTTCCTGACGTTCTTCTGCTGCGCACACTTCCTCCGCCGTGTTTGTTCATTTCTGTCTTTACGTCTTCCCGCTAACAGGTGTGGAAATCTGGACGGGGATTAAGAAAGGTCCACCACGGAAACTGAAGTTCCCCGACCCCCAGGAGATCGTCTCCTCTGTCGAGAAGGCTTTACAGTAGTCGCGTTCCAGGTTTGTGTCTTGCGGATACTCCAATGTGAAATGACATCTAGAGATGCACCCATACCGCTTTTTTCTGGTACTTGCCGATACCAGTGCCTTGCGCCACGATAATAAGGAAGTTGGTTGGCGGATCATGGCCCGGCTTCCTGATTGCCTGTGTTCTAGCTAAAGGACACCGGTTTCAGAGGCTGCCTGGCTTCCTGTCCAATCAGGAAGTGGGGCAGCGAGCAATGAGGTGCTGTCGGGCTTCCTGTTTGGCAAGGAAGCCGGTTTCACTTGTTTCTAGGTAGCCTGGCCTCCTGTCCAATCAGGAAGCCGGGACGCCAGTCATGACGTGCTGCCTAGCTTCCTGATTGGTTAGGCAGCCAGGCTACCTACCAACAAGTGAAGCCGGCTTCCTGACCAATGGGGAAGCTGGGATGCCAGTCATGAGGTGCTTCCTGATTGGTTAGGCAGCTAGGCTGCCTACCAACAAGTGAAGCCGGCTTCCTAGCCAATCAGGAAGCCGGGTGCTGAGTCATGAGGTGCCGTCCGGCTTCCTGATTGGCTAGGAAGCCGGCTTCACTTGCTTCTAGGTAGTGTGGCTTCCTGGCCAATTGGGAAGCCTGGCGGCACGGCATGACCCGGCTTCCTGAATTCCTGTTCCTAAGCAGCCTGCTTCCTGACCAATCAGCCATAACCCACGGGCCGGCTTCCTGATTGGATAGGAAGCCGGCTCTGTCGGTCAGAGGGAAATCTCCCTGTGACCATAAGTTCCATTATCGGAGCATTTGGTGGAGTGAGTACTCGCCCAAATACTCTGTATCGGCACCAATACTGGCATCCCTAATAACCATAGACAAAGAATATCTGGAATCATTATTATTACAGGCCCGCTATTTACTCAGCGCTGTACATTCACATCAAAGTGCTTAGTCTGGGTTCCCTCCCACATGCATACACACACTAAGGTCCGTTAACCTACCAGCATGTCTTTGGAGTGCGGGAGGATGTCCCTAGAGGAAAACCACACAAGCACAGAGAGCACATGCAAACTCCATGTGGATGGTGTCCTGACTGGGATTTGAGTAGAGGACCCCAGTGCTGTAAGACAGAAGTGCTAATTACTAACTCAAGTTGCCAAACCATCTTCTCTGTTAGTGGAAAGTTACCGATCGGCTTGTTTCTTATGGAGATGCAGCAAATGATATGTATCGTGCGACATCAATATTTGAAACTACCGCCATTTTATTCTACAAGGTCCGTGCTTTCAGGAAATACATGTTTGGGGGTTTTAAAGGAGAATTATGAGGGGAGTAAAAGTTACTGATCCTCATAGTTCTAGCCGACCTGTGACAATGAGACTGTCGCACGTCGGCTCAATAGATCGGGAGGTGAGCGAACACATAGATTTCGCTCGCTCACTTCTCGATCTATCCCTTCAGGGAGCCGTGAGCGACAGTTACAATTCCTCCCCTGTCCGATCCTCCAGCGCTGACGGGCGGAACGGACGGGGGAGGGGGTGGGTACAGCTGGCTCTGCCTCCTAGATAGGCAGAGCCAGCTGTCACTCACGCAGCTGGGTGGATCTCAACAGTAATGTCGGGATCTGTCCCGGCTGCGGCGGTTTCAGTATATAGTGAGCTGTAGCTCGCTACATACTGAGCTTAGGGTGACGGGAAGACGCTAGTTTGTGTCCTCCCGTTACCCTAAGGAGAACTATGGGGGAAAACACTGACTCCATAGTTCTCCTTTAAATAATTTTCAGGCCTAAAATGTGGATAATGTGCAAATAAGGCCTTGCTGGTGAAAGTGCTAATAGACCGAAAGGGACTGATTGGGGATTAGTTTATGGTTTGGGTTTAAATGCCCTTTGAGTGTTACTGGCACACGAGCATACGGGTCATACGTGGGATACAGATCTCTAGAAGTCCCTGTACATTGACCTTTTGCTTCTTCTCCACCTTTAGAGTTCCTCCTGCGCTTGGCACTAATGAAGGGATGTAGCCAATGGGATTGCCAGTTACTTCTCTGAGAAACGGCCAGCAGAGGAGGAGCCTCCCGGAGATGCGATGCTACTGGACACCGAGGAGAGTTTTATGGATGTTTATCAAATAAAGGTTTCTATGTGAGAATTTGTCTTTTGGTTGTGAGACGGCCGCCCGGGCCCCCCTGGCTGCGAGGCGGTCGCCTGGCACACCCGTGGCCACTTCAGCACCCACATTGTATGGGGCTCCTCGGTCAGGAGTGCGGTGGGACTCTGCATTTGACTGGGTACCTCAGAATTCGTCTTTCTCCACTCTGGAACC